CTACTCAGAAGTTTGTCACTTTGTGCTTCATAGTGGTTACTTGCAGGAAAGTGGGTACAGGACTACATCCCATGCCTTGGTATACAGTTGGCCTTAGGAGAAAGCACACTTCTTGTGCCTTTAACAGAGCTGTGGAAGGTAGAACTACAAGTTAAGCTTTTTTCTAATACAGAAATATAATTATGGGGAAAGCTTCACCTGCTCACATACTTTCTGTCAAATACTTTGTGTGTATGGCCATTAAATTATTTTTAGACCCTCTACTACATCTTCAGAAGAGGACACAAATTTGCGTGTTCAGACCCAGAGACCTCCCTCCTAAATAAAGACACATTTGACTCAAATTTTAGTTTTGGTTTTTGGCAGAATTTAGGCCACAACTTTATTGATTACAGAAAAGTGAGTGGTTGCAAAGGCTCTGGTTTGACTAGCTCACTACACCCTTGTAGGTAGCGCTGACCCAGAGCTCTATCATAGGTCAGCCAAGGGTGAACACCTGAGGAAGGTGAAAAGCCTGGGAGCAGACTCTATTCACTCCCCAGATGCTCCCCTGGACTCAGGCACGGGCTCAACCCCTTTTCGGGGGCTGGCCAAACCAAGTTGAGTCCCTGGATTCCTTTAACAGAATAATCTTCACATAGGGATGGCGGACCGTTCTCCCATCCCTATCATATGAACCAGTGCCTATGCACAACCTTACAAGTTGTGACGCATTGCCGCGCGGCAGGTGAAACACAAATGACAATAGCCAATCAGCCAAGTGGGAAAATTCCTGCCGTACCTGTCCCAAAGACAGACGACACACGACGGCATAGCAAGGTTAATCGCAAAAGGCCCTAAAAATAGGGAGAGGTGGGCGGGTGTTCTGATGCACAAGCCAAAAGAGGAAGCTCTGGGTCATGTGCATGGCTTTATATATGTCCCTCGATCCGTTTAGACTGCAGCCCAATTGGCCAGATTGAAACCCAGCATTGAGGGACCTACCAATCGGGTGTTGTGGCTATTCAATGGACCCACCCACAACCAAGAGGTCAGTCTCCAGATCTCACCGCAACACGTGCCCTCTTCTAGGAAGGACACGATTTGCATGACACAAAGCATATGCAGATTTTATTCAAATCTGTGTCCTCTTTTTCAAGTGGGTTAGAGGGCCACTAATTAGACTTTATCTCAAATTATATCATCACTTGCATTTGCTCCTCTCCTCATCTAAATCCATATGTACTGTACTCCACCCAAAACAGAATACAGTCAGATTGGATTCCTTCAATTCCCTCTCAAGGTCTATGTTTTTTGGTGTACAGTATATGCATTTCCACATAAAACATTTAAGTGCATACATAAACTACACCTTTTCAGTAACATGCTACAAAATAAACATGTTAATGGAAACAGGTCTTCTAATAGGGTTCCCATATTTGAAGCAGTGAAAATGTGAGACAGAAGCCTTTTTTGGCCAAAGTTTATGAGCTTTTTTAGGTTTGCCCAAAGCTGTTGAGCGTTTGGGGGCAACCCTCCCCCCCAAAAACCAATTTTTGTGCTATTTTTATGGGAATTCGGGGGGAAATGACACTGTCAATATGGGCTGCCATACATCTGGATTTTCCTGGACATTTTGCCTATTTCCGCTGACTACTGACTGCAGCATTTTGGATATGTCCGGATATGTCCGGGAAATTCCATGAACACAGTCCAAGCCACAGACTTCAGCATGGTAAGTATGGTTGCCCAGATTTTATAAAGCCTTATGCATCTTTGATCACATTTTGCAGTCAAAGGGGAAGAAGGTCTGAACAGTGAAGATATTGTTATTTATACAGCAACACCTATAAAAATATAAATGAAACTTTACTGTTATAAGCACTGACCTGCCTTGTTCTAATAATCTGTATCTGACACAGGGCAGCTTGCTCTGCTACAGGAAGGATATTGCACTCTTGGAAAAACTGACCATCAGGCCTTTATGAAAGGTGATGTAAGTAAATCACGATCAAAGCTGATGCTTTTGTAAGATATTGCATTTAAGGTCACAAAGCCTCCTCCCAATGACTAGTAGTCTTGGCTGGTGTAACTCTTCATGTCCTCTTTTGGCTGGTGTAACTCTTCATGTCCTCTTTTTCCCCTGTGTTTCTCTCTGACATTTGTTTACAAGCTGGAGAGTTGTGCAAGCCTAGTACATACCGTACATCCACACAGTGGCGTAGCGTGGGGGGTGCAGGGGGGCCCGGCCGCACCGGGCGCAACATCTGGGGTTAGGGCAAATCCACAGGTTAGGGGGCGCAAATCCACGGGTTAGGGGGCGCAAATCCACAGGTTAGGGGGTGCAAATTACTTGCCTTGCCCCGGGTGCTGACAACCCACGCTACGCCACTGCATCCACAGAGTCTTATTTAAAAGGCCTCTTGTAAATCTAACTTTAGCATTCACAGATTTCACAAGACAATGAGCTTTTCAAAATACTGACTCTAAAGGTACAATCCCATGCACTCGTGTGAGTTAGGCCCTATTGAATTAAGAGAGGCTAACAGCACAATCCTATACATGTCTACTGAAAGGTACAACTGAATTCAACGTTACTTATTCCCAAATAGGTGGGTATAGGACTGTAATTTAATTGGCTACGTGTTTTGCTTGCTCAAGAAAAAAACCATGCCACATTTTCTAGAATAAAAGTTCAGTAATCATGCTGGAGAGAGCTAACCTAAAAAAATGAAAGGTCATATACCATAAGATAAACCATGCAAAACTTTATATGAGCTATTAAATGTACAGAAGCATGTACAGATCATAAAGGTATGTTGCACTTTAACTTCCCTAGGAATACACAGCGGAAAATGCTCACAACAAAGTTTTTATTACTAAAACTGAGGTACATGCAGTTTTTAATAGTTTTGTTTAACATTTATAAAAAGTCTGTATATTGCAGTTTAATTTATGTTACTTATGACAAAAGGAAAGGCAAAGAAGCTGCAAATATAAGTACTTCTCTTTTTCTTTAGATGCTGTAACACAGCTGGTTTGGATAGCAAATGGAAGTAAGTTAAGCAGAATGAAACTTCTGCAATTAGTTCATTAGGTCACATACATCTTTTCCATCATTCCAGCGAAATCAGTGAAATAGGGTGGTACACAGAAAATACTTGTTTAAAGGTTTTAGAAAGAAGGACAAGAACATGTTGATTGAACTAAGTAACGTCCTAGTAGAAAAGCACCTCTGCACTATAGCTGCCACCCATTCTGCTGCAGCATGGGTGATTATATCCTGCGTGGGTGGCCATTGTACTCAAGGTTTAAAGCAGGAGAAGGATTCTAGGCCAAAACCTAGGCATAATATACAGCACAGCAAAATAAAGACTCCCCCGAATGATTTGCACAACCTACTGTGGATCCATAGGACAATCATAGGCCAGCTTTCTGTAAAATATGTTCTGTGGCGCTTACTCTCATGTACGTCTGCAAGAGAACAAGCCTTCGTGCTGGTAATGTCAACAGTTTATCTCCAAGAGTTTTGACCTAAATAATCTATGCAATGGGCTATGTAGCTGGCATTGTTTGGCACGTATTAATTTATTTACATTTATATCCCACTTTTCTTCCATCATGGAACACAATGTGGCATATGTAAGGTGGCTCCCAGGTGTTCTTTCATCCCAGAACTGACCAGACCCAGCCCAGGTTAGCTTCAGCAAAGTAATAGTCCTATGTGCCTTCAGATCATATCTCCACACACTGGAGTAGTTTTTTATTTAATCCATTCTAAGTGGCTCTTTACTTTTTTGGCAAATATTGCTGATTTTTAAACTTTCTTCTTCCTTATTTGTTGTACACACAATGCCATTCTCTTAAAACTAATACTAGGTTTATTTGTTTTGCCCAAATAAAAGGGAGGCAAGTCTATGTAGTTAGTATAAGCCAAACATGGCTGTGCAAAACAGTGTGTCATTCCAACAAAAGGTTTGTCAAGAACACTGAAAGCAAAAAGAGAAACAACTCCCTGGAAACCGGTCTGTGTTTGCCCGCCAAGTTTCAGCTGAGAGGAACTTAGCACAACTGATGCAAACTCTTCTAAAGACACAGTCAGGCACAGAAAGACAAAATTTTAGCTGAGCTGTGTCTGATGTTTAACTGCTTTGTATGCGGGCAGTTTACTGTCCAACTACTGCCAAAATCAGTTGAAGTATGTAGCAATCCCTTTCCTCTCTCCAGCACGAAACGTTACTTGCTAAAGATAAACCACAAAAGACCATGTTTGGATAAAACATATTTTAGCTTGTGGAAGAAAGTTTAAGAGAGGGAGGAGGGATGGGCAAAATCCTTCTGTAGTTCAGCATATGAGAAGCACCAGTATTTGTTTTAAGCCACCTTTCCCCCACCCCAAAAGAAACAATGGACTAATTCGTATGGAGATGGTGAATCTGGGCCTGGACCACTGCAGGTGGGGGCTGGTATGAGGGGGAGAATAAAGCTCTCCAGTTAGAAAACTGGACGTCAGGGGAAAGGATTCTAGGACGATCATTTTCTATCTGCATATATCTACAAACACAGACTCGCCATCTCAGTGAGAACTATATCTCCCAGAAGATATAAGACTCCATTTCCACCTGGTGGAACGAAGTGAGGTAGAGCAGGAATGGATTAAGCAGGGAAAGATCCCAGGCGCGATGGCGGAGGGTGAGGGGATGTCTGCCTAACATCCCTATCTAGCACAACTGCCAAACTTCCCAGAAAGCAACTCGAGGAAGCGAGAGCCAAACAAGCCTTTGCAGAGCAAATGAACATCTGGCCAAGTGGGGGCCGAAGGGAAGACAAAGGAAGCTCTTCTGCAAAGACCACGAAACTTTCCAAGGTGCCTCGGGGCAGGCATCCTTCTCGCTCTCGTTCCTCAGTTTGCGCGTTGTTGTTTTATCCCCACGACACGGCTTGAGAACCCAGCGCCTCCTCCCCGCCATCTCTCCTTCAGCCCACACCCCAGCCCACTCCGCCTCTTGGTCGCTACTCACTCCAAGCAGACACACTTTCAGCTCTCGTATCGCCATCATCTGCTTGGGGCTAGGCGGCTTCGCATCCTTCGGAGGAGCCAATCTCCCTCGCGCTACCCACTTCCACCGAGCAAAGGAAAGCAGCTGCGGCTATTTCTGGGCAGCCCCAGCCCTCAGCCGCCACCGGTCACATGAGCGCAGCCCCGGAGGCTCCAGCTCCTCCTCGCGTCTTTTTGGTGCTTTCCTCACCCAAACCCAACACGTACAAAATATCTGCGCTTCAGCATATTTCAGGAGACGCGGTTTCCATTCTTGGGTCTGTGCTGCTGTTGCTGCTGCTGCATTTCCAGACAGGCAAGTTAAAGAGACAAACTCTTCTGCGGCTCACAATAGCAATCTGGAGTTCCCGCCCATTTTTCTCCTCGCACATTCTTCTGGGGAAATTGTTCGATATCCAAAAGGAACAGCAAGAGGCAATGCTCCAAAGGAAGGGGAGGCGGAGGAGGAGGAGGTGAACATAATCTTTTGGGGGAAACGTTTCAAGTAAAAAAATAAAAAATAAAATCTTAATTCCAAAAAAGTACAACTAAAAGGGCTTGACACATTCAATAAATGCTCATTTATCAGAATTCCACTCAGTCGTGCGTGGGTTAACAAACTTGAAAAGTAATAATCTGTTTTTAAAAGCTTCGCTCCCAAAAAAAAGTGTAACCAGAAATGTCATTGATATATCACTCATGATATAACAGGATTTATGCACAGAAGAAACTGAAAATAATATCTTAGTTAGTCAGGACACTCTAACTGAGCAAGACCTGTCAAGCCCTACTGATTAACTGACATAATATTATAATCTGCGCCATAGCCAGGAATGATAATAATAATAATCAAATTCTGCACTGGTAAACTAAAAAGGGAAACTGGATTCTTTGATGTGTACAAGTACTTATTTGCATAATATAGTCTACCACCCCTAGAGATGTCATTATAAACCTAGCCCTGCCTCAAAGGAATGAGCAATGATTATGGGAAAAAATTCTATGCATACCAGATCTTTCCAGAATCACAGAGCGCTTTCAGACTTGCTATTTTGCCTGTGGGATTTAATCACATATAGCAAATCCAGGTTGTGCAATTAAAATGGATTTGGCTCTTACACAACAAACTCACTTAAGAAAACAATAACAAAATAGACTTTGCAGTAAGAAAAGTGACAGAAAAATGCATCGTGACTTGTCATAATATAACTTCTACACAAACAGATTAATAAACAACATGCATCCTATAATCCATACACACACTGTGTGCAAACAAATCAAGATGAATGCGCAATAAAAAGGTTGTCAGGAAGTGTCTACAGACAGAAATTCAGCCTAAATACAGTTGTTGTTTTTCAGTCCATATTCAGGTAGGTATCTATTAGTACTGTATATATCACATAGTAATTTTAGAGTGTAGTAGCCTGGAGGGCGAGGAAGGCTTTAGATGGGCAAAGAGTCAGCCCTAGTATTTTACCACTGTAAAATTATGGTTATGTTGTCCAGAATTTCATACCAGAAAAAAACTTGCCAGCCCAAGTGAGGACTCCTTGCAATAAAATGCATTGATTGACAGCCTGTAACTTTCTGTCACAGAAGTGAATTGGCTTAAAGTAAAGCCAAAATAGTAAAGCCAGTGCTTTATATCATGGATTTCAATGGGATCCGCTGAGTTCCGTGCGATAAAGCAAACAGGCTGCAAATGGGACGAACAGATCAAATAAACACCCCATAATATGCATGCAATGACCTAAAAGGCCACAACAATAAATTTCAGTGGAGACATAAATTTCTCCAGTGATGTGGTTCCTTTTCCTGCCAAGGTAAATATAATAATAAAAAAAATAGTTTAGTTAGTCTAAAGGGTTTCTTGTTGAAAGGGAGAAACTAACATTTATCTGCATGTATTAAGGAAGTGGACAGGAAAGAAAAAGATATGGAGATGGGTAAATCTGTAGATCAACATCTTACACACCCCCTCAGTGTCCACAGACTTAAGGCAGATAATCAGTGAAAGTTGTTATAGATTTGTGGGGGAGGACCCAAAGCCTAGAAATTAATAAATGGTAATATTTTAACTAATTGGGATATGAAAGGAGAAATATCCGCTGCAGAGGAATTTCTGGGCTAGCCTATGCAAACTGACCTGGCCAAGCTAGGGCCTTTAAGAAGAAGAGTTTGAATTTGATATCCCACTTTATCACTACCCTAAGGAGCTAACATTCTCCTTTCCCTTCCTCCCCCACAATAAACACTGTGAGGTGAGTGAGGCTGACAGACCTCAAAGAAGTGTGACTAGCCCAAGGTCACCCAGCAGCTGCATGTGGAGGAGCGGGGAAGCGAACCCGGTTCACCAGATTACGACACTACCGCTCTGAACTGCTACACCAAACAATACAGGGCCATTGAGAGCCATTGGCAATGCAAGAGAACTGTCCTTTTCCCCTACGCTGACATGTGATTTGGAAAGTTGTCAGGGTAACTGGACGTGATGTCACAGGAAGAGTTTGGGGCCATTGGCATAACTGAGAATAAGCTTTGGGATAGCTGAGGAAAAGGCCAGATCCATCTTGGGCAGGATGGCTGAAGGCAGGCTGGGAGAAATGCCTCGGGCTCCACTGCTGCACTGCTATGGGGAATAGGCTCCTCTTGAGATGCCTGTTCTGTAAGATCTGTACACCCTCCATCTACATGCAGGTATAAATATATGAATCATAAATCTTAAAACTACGACAGCCTCCAATGTGCCTTCAATTCTCCAAAGGGGCAGAGACCCCAGTTGAGGGCCAAGACTCTTGGAATCCCATGCATGGCTCAGCAGGGATAGGGGTGGCCTCTAACACTACTTACATCTCACTATAGTAGAAATATAAAATGGTTGGCACTTTGTTTTTGTCCAAGGCCATCTCCATGAGCTGTGCCAATCAGGAGTAGAGTTTCTAACTTGAACTTCTAGGGCCTGTGTCAAGAAAGTATTGTCACAAGATGTATTCTCGACTCAGCAAAATGTTCACGATTATATTAGGCAGGGATTCAGGCTCAATTAAGTTGCACATCTCATCCTCCCAACTCACACACCTCCACCCCTATCAAGCCCCAACAGATACAATACACATAAAAGTAGCCTATAGTAAGCCAGCATGGGTTGCAGTAAGGTATAGAAAAAGCAAATATATATGCCAGCACAACACTGCACCAGATCTCATTGTACTTTCTTATAAATACCTGACACAAAACAATAAATCTTCCTATACAGTCATGACCCAGAACTTGTTCCTGAGTACTTTTCAACTTATTTAATTATTACCCTAAAATAGCTAGTTTGTGAACTGTAGTCTCATTCATGTAAAAGTAATTAAGTTTACTAACCAGTTTTAAATAGGCTGAAATGTTTTAAGGACTAAAGCACTCATAAAGCACACTACAAATATTTTGTGCAAGATTCAATCTGTTAAACAAATGTGATTATCACGAAAGTCAAGGTCAAACAAGGTAAGGAGGAAATATAAGGACAATCTTCTCTGTTTATCTAACTCACACAAAGAAAAAGTTACAGACGTGTCCTTCAAGCTGCCTCTGACCCATTCTATTCCAGGAACCACCATAATTGTTTGTCTGCATTCAAAGAGCTGTGGTCAGGGAAACATTTCTGGGGAATTTGTCATATTTTAGTATGTTTAAAACTGCAGAAAAACAACTCTGATGATACTTGCCTTCTCTCCCTCCCCCTTTTGTAGCAGCTTGGTTGATCAGCAACTTTTGTGTTGTTGTTTTCCTTTTGTGATGTTGTGATTTTTTCCCCTTCTATAAATAAATTAAGAGAAACTAAAAAAGAATAAGAATGGAGAAAGCACTGCTTAGTGGTAGAGTGCATGCCTTGCATGCGTGTAGAAGGTCCCAATTCAATCCATTGCACCTTCAGCCCAAAAGACCTGTGGTAGCAGTGGTCTGAAAGCAGGAGTCTGAGACACTCCAATACTGGACTAAACAAACCAAAGTTATGAGTGGTATGAAGAAAGGTAACAAATTAATTTTGTGCGTTCAGGTCCTGCTTCTGGACTTCCCAGAGGCCTCTGGTTGGCCACTGTGATAACAAGATTTTGGACTAGATGGGACATTGGCTTAATCCAGCCGGCCAGTCTTATGTTCTCATTAATTCATTTAACAAAAACCAGTTGTGCAGAATGACCCATGTCTATTCTTGTGCTGACTTCCATTAAAATTACTCTGCTCTTTCATCTGATCTGCTTCTTTTAACTAATTAAAACTGTGCAACTGTGCAACTGTTGCTAAGTATAATTACTAAATGACTGTACCACCTCAGAATGCATACAAGGGATGGCATATTTAAAAGCATTACATATAAACAGGGTTGTTGGTTAGGCTGTGGACCATGGGACCTAAGCACTCAGTAATTTGCATTGGGCCCCCAATCTCCTGTCCTGTCTTCTCCCCGTTGCCTTAAAAAACCCCAAAACTATGCTAACAGGGTGGCTGGTTGCAGCGTAAATGAGACCCCAGCCACCCATCATCTTAATCTGCCCAAAGACAAATTTCCTTCATGTTCCTTTCCCTCAAGTCTTTTAAGTACCTAGCAATGCCCCTGCACATAAAAATCTCCATCCATCAGTTGGCTCTACATACAGTTCAAGTGCAAGCATGTTTGAGCTTGGCTTCTGACTTAAGTCTAATCTTACTGTTGTGTTAAACAACACCCCAATTTCCACCAGTTGGAGATTGGCTGCACGAGATCCCAGGGGTTCCAGGCGCCCTTCAAGAAATATGGTTCATTGCACACATATTTACACCTGGGTCTACTTTGGAGAGAGTTCAGAGCATTACATCTAAAGAGGATATTTTTCTCTACAGCAGTGCAGCATTGGAGTTCAAGGCATCCTGCATACCATCTCCATGCCTCTGTCCCAGCCTGCCAGGATGGTTCTGGCCTTCAAGGCACCTCGTCAGAACCTTCTGCCTAGTTGATGGTTTCAAGTGATGGGTTAATGACTTGCTTCTAGGAGCTTTTGCCATTCTTAATGACTTCTATTCCAGGTGAGCCCCTGGCCTGGAAAAGAAGCTTCACCTGTATTTTCCCCTAGTCTAACATCTGTCCTTCAATATTCCAAATATTATCTGAAGTCTATCATTTATTAATTTATAATATTCACTAATTCTAGCAGTTATGGATGCCCTTGTAGCCCCATACTCTGTTACCCCAGATTTGTAACAGTAAGTTGCTGAAGGGTCAGAATAGTATTGTAACAAAATAACTGTGTAAATTGGATGGGATGATTGGTTTGGGCACTGTAGCTTTCCAATACATCTGTAGTTTAATTTGCCTTAATTGCTGATTTTACTCAT